TTCTGAAATGTGAAATATAAAATCTAAAAAATAAAAGGGCACTTAAGACACAATGAATATGCCAAAATGTATTTAACTTTCTTATCGTGTTTGTTCTGACTTATTATCGCAAAACAAACCTTATCTTGTCGCCATAAATGTTAATGTTTTATAATAAATCTCGATAAATGTAACTTACCGTTCTTAAATACAGGATGTTACCAAAAGAACACGAGTGAAATGTTAAAGGTTTTCTTTCGCGTTTTACTGAATTAACGTTCAGATTTACCAAGCAGTCGATACTGAGCATTTTAGGTGCTTGAAATTACTTCACTGAATGTGAACGTTAAGTACAAAGCCGTAGATTTTTATGCAAGAAGTATTCCATGCAGCGGAAATGTCTTATTTAATGAGTTGTGCTTTACATAATGCAGAGAGCAATTGTAGAAACATGAAATGGGCTTTGAAGGGTTATTTTGGAGTATGGAAAGAGCGCTCGCTGCAAATTGAATAAACAGTTTCTTAAATCTAAAGTCACATAAATTTATTTTAAAATCTTGGTAATTGATACCGAGACAAAATTACAAAAAAAAATGTTCCTCCTCGGGGATTTTGCACCTCTAAGTCACGCATCGGCCTTATTTGACGAGGAATCTGATATTCTACATTATGATATTCCCAAGCATCTCACCTCCACTCTTTCATAAACATATTTCTATCCAACCTCGAGAGTTTTTGTTTACATACCCTGTGCCAAAAAGTTTATTACTAACTCAAGTGCGTGCAGTGGTGCGGTGTTCTATGAACTATTTCAACCAAATATCCACACCAGACTCAAACGCAGGTTACTCCAAGACGTTATTTTATCAGGCGACGAAGAAGATTAACTTATTATTGGTTAACTTTCCTAGGGACCGCTACTTAGTCTCTCTAAGTCACGATACACAGTCATACTGAATCTTATCACTGCTATGTATAACAAACTTATGATTGTTGATCTGGCAATAAATTTATTTAAAAAAAAAAAAAAAAGATTTGCTCCCACCGACTGGTGTTTCCCTCCTTTGCATCGAAGAGGCAAAGAATATTAATTTACGCTCGTTAAATTTTGGCAGAGTCATAAATTCGTGCATGATTCATCGAACATTACATATATTATGTTTTTATTAGTTGTATCCGCCTTTGGGAATAGAAGTTATTAGTTCATTGTTTACATGTGCCGTACAAGTAGGGCGGAATTTTCGCCAATATGATGACAGCTTATGAATTAAGCTCGTGAGAAAACCAACCTTGATTATCTTTCAAATATTGTAAACCATATTATTTTATTGCAGTCGGTACGAATTTTCTAATAAATTTAATTTATGAAAGTCGGCGCTATAAATCACTTCTTAAATTTCCAATTAAATGTATATGACATTTGCACCGTTCGCCTTGCGCATTAAATTTGCCCGTTATTGAAGGATCGACCTATTAATAAGTAAATTACGAAATTGAGAAGTTAAAAAATTGAACAATAAAAGCTGCACCGGGAAAAGGCCGATAAAAAAAGCGTTGTAATTTATTGTCTTAATACTCGTATGATATAAATACAAATTTAAATTTTAATTTAATCACAATATTATAGGGCATCGAATGAGTGTGAACGTGATCGTTTTCTTGGTCTTCATCACATTAGGGCCCTGGGTGGTCCGCCATTAGTTAGCGAATACCGAATTAATATATCAATTTTCGTATGTAAGACACAAGACCAGTAACCATACATATTACACTGTATTTAATTATATATCACACGGTCACTTAAAAGAGTTTCATTTTCGAGACATTAATAACGCTGACTTGTTTCATAAATTCGATCACCACACGAGTTCCCATTATACAAACCTTTTTAACTTATTTTTGCAATTTTATTTGTCTCAACGTAACTAGTGCTCTTCATTAACTTTGTATAAAGATTTTGTAATTTTTTATTCTTACTTATGTCGCAACCGTTTTCGTTTGTAGTTTTGTTATTGTTTAAGCTGGTCCCCAATGTAGAGGTCCATTGGGTACAAAAATCATTTTGATCACAAATTAGTGTTTATTTACTATGCGCTATACGTCTGTTGACATTTTGGCAGACCACTTGTGCCACAAAAATGAAAAAAAAAAAATTGGGGCAACTTTAATTTCAGTTGTGCTAAAAACGGGTGCTAATTTTAAGTCTTCATATTATTATTGCATTCGAGGACTTGGCCCTCCCCCTCTCCCAGCATCCCACTTGGAAGACTATAGAATCGCAATTGATGTCGATTGTACAATTGCCAATTATAATAAACCTATACGTACAGGGTGCCTATTATGTAGGGAGTATATAGTATATATTTTGGTAAATTAACGACGGTATATAACATTTTTCTATATGTGTAAAAGTTGTTTAATACTTTATTTCTCACAATACGGCCGAATTCAGCTGTTTTTATTTCAGAAAACAAATGAGCAGCGAAAAACAATTGAATTTTTTTAAATAGTACCTATGTACCCTTTCATTAGGCTCATTTGATATAGACTTTGTTTCTTTTTTCAATGACGTAACATGTTATACAAGAAATTAAATTTTTTTAAGCTTTTCGTGATAGTACCTTGCAGTTAATGGTAAACATTTTGAACATTTATTGCGATGAAAACCATTTTACTGTTAATTTGATTTTGATGAAGGATATCTACCGGGTGATTCATTAGAAGTGAGGACAATTTGAATTTCCCGCAAATCAAAAAAATTATGAAGTTGGTACTAACTGATAATCTTTTATTTAATTGCAGTTGTGTATCATCATACTTTCAGTAAATCGTTTACTTATTTATAATCTACAAATACTGCTTCTGTTTTACCACCAATTATAAACTAACATTAGACACAGTCACGTTTCTTACATATTTTAGTGCATCAACTCTAAAAATTGTTCAAAATGGAAAAAGTAATAAACCGCAAATGGCACACCACAATTAATGGCGACACTGGTTTTTTAAATGACAGTCATGACAGAAAAAAATTACTAACGAAATTCAAACCGTCAATCTAATAATGCAAAAAATACTAAAACCTTACGCGCGAAATTCAAGCGATCATCACTTCTAATGAATCACTCGGTATATTAATGCTATTGGTGTAATATTACTTACTAAAGAGTTTTTAATTGTTTTTGAAGAATTGTCTACTGTATAAGGATTAAGGGCTAACATGTTACGTTATCGAAAAGAGACAAAAAATCTATAAAACAAGCTTTAAAAAATCAATTGTTTTTCGTCACTCATTTGTTTTCTAAAATAAAAACAACTGAATGCTACCTTATTATGGAAAATAAAATATTAAACAACTTTTATATAGAGGGTACCATCTGTATAAAATAGCCGCTATTGATCGTTTTAATTTTTTGTGATTCTGAAATAAATGAAAACGCCGTTTTCAAAATTTGGTTTTGCGCATGCGCAGTGCTAACTTTTTTATTTATGGAAGAATTTAAACGAAATTTGATACATAGGCACTTGGAATAAAGGAAAATCAAACGCCAGTTTCAAAATTTGATTTTTCGCATGCGGAGTGCCAACTTTTTTAGGTATTTATGGAAGAATTTAAACGAAATTTGATACATAGGCCCTTGGAATAAAGGAAAATCAAACGCCAGTTTCAAAATTTGATTTTTCGCATGCGGAGTGCCAACTTTTTTAGGTATTTATGGAAGAATTTAAACGAAATTTGATACATAGGCACTTGGAATAAAGGAAAATCAAACGCCAGTTTCAAAATTTGGTTTTGTGCATGCGCAGTGTCAACTTTTTTTATTTATGGAAACATTTAAATGAAATGTGATAAATATAGGCACTTGGAATAAAGGAAAATCAAACGCAAGTTTCAAAATTTAGGTTTTCGCATGCGCAGTCTCAACTTTCTTATTTAGAAAAGCATTGAAATGAAATTCTTCTTATAAACTGAAATTGAAGTAGCACGTCAAAAATGGATTGCACATATGCAACGCTATCTTTCATATTTGTGGCCGGATTTTTACGATTTTAACAGAAGTTGCATCTTACAAATGGGAAATGAATGCAAGTGGAAATGCGCTTTATGGAAATCGTTTACGATTACTTTTTAACTTGTTTTAAATGCTATTAGGGAAATAACATTGCATGCAAAATCGTATGTTCCTGTTTAAGATAAACGTACTATATATTACATTAACTTTATCGCATTCCTCTCACTCGAAACCTAGTCAGTCAATCCAGTTTTAGAAATTTTGAGTACCTTTCAGGCTCAGCTCCCGACTATACGATAATTATTATGGCAACAGCAAGGTCACAAATTACACCACACGAGTGTCACACGATTTGGCGATTCACTTTTCTTGAGCAAAAAAATGCAAATAATTCTTGTGAACACGTACAATTGATTTTAGCTCTATGAACTAAAGCACCCACTGATCTTTCTACTACGTGGTCCACTCCCAATCAATTGATCTAGTGGGTATTCTTTGTCGATGGCCCTGTATAGTCGAGAGCCTCCTCGGCAGTACGATGTATGTCGAGTAACTCACACCATGAGACATATTGACAGCTGATTGTCCAATATAGCACATAGAACGGAAAGATATAACCTGAAAAGAACAAGAGAATTTATGCACACACACAATAAATACATTGAATTTAACATCCGGAGCAACCGGAGGCCGGGTGTTCGAACATGAGCGGAGGTAGGAATTTTCATCTGTGGCAGAGATGGGAATTTCCTTAGATCAGTTTCGAGCATTCTGCCGGCTACTCCGGATTAGGTTTTCCTGCAGTTTTCCTAATTCGTAAGGTAAATACCGGAGTAATATAGATCAACTTAAGACCTTTCTGCAGATGCACCTCTAACAACTCTAAAAACCATTACGCGGGTCACTCTGTAATTGTTCGTAAGCCTGTTGAGGACCTAGAACAAGAGGAACAATAAATAAATAAACAGATTAATATAGTACAAGGGGACGTAGTGTGTAAAAGGGGATATGACCGTAGGTGTTAAATTCTTTAAAAATAATAGTAATTGTTTAAATTAATTAAAAATGTCTGGTGACAAACTACTATAAATATTACAATAGAAATGTATAGTAATTTTTAATTAGCTATCGATTACTACTAAACAAACGGTAACAATTTTAGATATACTAGATATTCGAGAACTTCTTTATATTTCTGGAGAACCAAGAATTTGTTCGTAGCTCACATTTATTTTCAGTATAGTGTTCTGCTTTCGACTAGCATGTCTATAGCTGTAGGTACAGTATATCTTTCTAGGTGTAGATTTATTAATTTGTGGTGGCCATTTGCTGTCAACTCACTACATGTAAACTTTTACAAATCAAAATAAATGTTGTACATTCAGATGCAAACTTCTATTGTCCGACCAAGAGCTGCAGTTGGATAGACATGTTACATATGATTATTTTTATTATTATTTACACGTTTGTGTCTTTTGCTGTGATTTTCTAATTATAGAAAATCAAATGCACATCCGAAAGGCGGCCATCTTAAGCTCTCTCTGAACATATTTAAAAAGAACTAAATAACGATTACAAAAAAATTAAGAAATGTGTTACACAATTTTAAGGCTATTTTTTAAAGTTACGTAATTTGCAAAAACTAATCCGTAAATGTTTACATAGTACCTCTAAACATGTATGTTTACCTGTAAGAGGAAAACTAGATTAATAAATATTTTGGAAAACGATTAACACGTGTTTTTTTTTTCAGGAAATTTGCAAGAGGCACTTCCGCACCACGGACGAATGGTAAGAGTATATCGTCCACATGTAATTTAAATAATTTCCATAAACATTATTAAAAAAAAACTGGTTCCCATAAAATTGGTAGTTTTCGTATTATATTAATAAACAATGTCAGACATAATTTTTTATTCGAACACATAATCGTTTTTCAAATATTAAAAAGCGGCGTTAAATATATAAGCTTTTGCGTGTCAAGTCACTATTATTAATCTATCAGTATTACCTACTATAGTATAACAAACAGGTAGTTACATTTAATTCAACAGATAGATTTAAGCTGTTGACGTTTCGTATTATGGTCATAGAAAATACCTCTTAATTAATATCTTAACGTATTGTGGACAATTTACTAAATGGTATGAGAAGGAAATTAATCCATCAATCATTTTTTTTACTGTAAACAGTTTTTAATTATTTAACTTATACAAACTTTAACTGACAGTCTCAGTTGAAGGTATCACGATTTGTTGTTTGTTTAATTATGTATCGTACGTTTATTTAAATTCGTTCGAAAGCCGGCAAAATCAACCCTCAGTTCAAGTTGTAACATATTATTATCATTAATCTACTTAACATCATAATAATGAAGATAAAACACAAAGACAAATGGCTTGTTAAAAACTGGGCTGTGGTTAATTTGTCAATTTTACATGCTTAACTTAGACACGCGTTCATTGTTTACATTTCTGCTAATCACCTTGTTATAATTTCCTTAAGAATGTCTGACAGAATTTGTTTCATTACAGGTTTACACCTGCCATACTGCGTGAGAGGATCCCTAAGCTTCAGCTTGTCATAGATCTCACATTTACTGATAGATATTATAATGCCACGGTAAGTTCGGTTTTTGTTTTTAATTCGGTAAGCCACGTTCACCTACCTGTTGTGCAATTATGTAACAAAATTTGAAGGATGATGAACATGATAATTTAAGTTAATATCTGCCAATTATAATATCCGACATGGATGTCAAGATGACTTATCATCATCGGAAATTTTAGAATTTCAAGCTTGTTTTGGCTATTACTCTGTTTAAAATTCTGCATTTCCTTTAATCAAATTGGGAAAAGAGCAGGGTGTTTAGTTAATTTATAGTGGATTTTATTAGTAAAAAGGAGTTTTTGACATTTAGTCCAGGAAACGAAACTTAAAATAGTATAAAACCTGGCATTTTTTTCAAAATGCATCGATTTGCATGAAAATTTAGGATTAAGTTCAACTTACCCTCCACTTCAAAATCTATATTATGCCGATGAGCGCTCTTCATTTTCTAAGGGTGCAAACTACCCTTTTTTGCCAAAATCCATGAAACTGTACATATTAAAGCTTAAGGTGAGAAAATTTTGGTTCAGATGAGTTGAGTACTGACTGTTAGAGACTTTGGAACATTCTTTCAGAATATTTCGACCCTTAAAAATCAACCCTTATTGTGGTTTATTTAGAAAAAAGTATTTACTTTCAATAATTGATTATTGACGCAGTTGTTCAGTGTACATTTCGAACAAAGTATGGTGGTCAGCCTAATGATAGATGGTGTATCAAACGTTGATATAAACAATAAACAGTTCATAGAGAAACAGTGTTTGTGTACCTATTTGTGCAAAGGGAAAAGTTCCGGGCAGCAGCGCACGTATAATCGTATCGACATATCTCGAGTGGGGTCATATTGAACATCTTGTTTAGTGAAAAAAAAACTTACTTTAACACTCTTCATTTGAATGTAACCCATGGTTCTGCGAGATGGCTGATTTTCAAAAATGGTGGGATACGCGTCTTCGGCAAGTTTAATCTGGTATTTTGTTTGTTTAATTAAAATTCAGATCTTCAAAGTGGTGATATTCTTTTTGAATCCCCCTTTATATACATTAGATAGTGTATAGGTGTATGGAAGGGATGTATAAGTGTGAATACAAGTTATATAAATAAATATAATATACCGGTCATGTGCTTTTGGAATTTTTCGAAAAAAATTGTGATGCGTTTTTTATAACCATAACTACTTTATTTTTTATGATAGAAAATGTATTAAAAAAACCATTCTGTAGGTTTTTACAAGAGCTACAAGGCTATTTACAAATCCATTAAAAACCCTTAGTTTTAAAATGGGGTGAGCTTAAAGGGCTAAAACTAGGTAGTGCTCACATACCTATATACCGGGTGGTACACGGTAAGTAGAAACATACGCATTTAACATGAGAAAATAGTTTTATGCAATATCCTGCTCCCCTGTACATTTTACGAAAAAAACTGTAGAGTTTAAAGTTGTTCAGAATTAAAAGATGCATACAAAACCGGTTTTACATGTTTTATTAAGCTTTTGGTATACTCGCAAATTTAAAAATAAATTTCAACATTTCTTTTTATTAGTAGCAATTCATAAAACAACAAAACTCATGGCTATTGCCACTAATAACAGAAATGCTTAATAAAACATGTAAAACCGGTTTTGTATGCACCTTTTAATTCTGAACAACTTTAAACCCTACAGTTTTTTCTATTAAATGTACAGGAGGGCAGGATATTGCATAAAACTAATTTCCCATGTTAAATCCCTATGTTCCTACTTACCGTGCACCACCCCGTATACACGTTTTAAACGTCTATATATCTCACCTAATTTTTTTCGTACAGAAAATTGACTGTGAGGAAAATATTTGGAATTAAAAAAGCTACAATGCTGTAGCAATTTTTACGTAAGAGTTGTTTTGTAGTTATTTTGAAGAGAAGGACATTTTTCACAGAATTGCAGAAATTCGTTGTTCACTTTTAGTCAAAATTAAGTCTTCTAACCTGGTCACTCTTCTAGAATGTATTAATAATACGTAATCAAAGACAACTGGAAAAGGGGAAGGACTAATTTTAATTAGGGTGCTAATTAGGGGGTTGCTTGCGCTGATTTTTTTTGCTGAAAAAAGTACGGATCTACCTTATTTTTATCGTAACTCACTTACCTTTTATGGTAAAGTTTGTTTTTAAAAAAAAGAAGAAAGGTTTTTTAAATACTTTAAAAATATTCTACAAGTTTTTCTCGAAAAATGCATAGTTTTGACATTATTTGACTGTGAAACCCTCTAATTTAGCGTTTGACGAACAGGAGCTAACCTTTAACAAGACACAACTTGGTTCGTATTGGTCATACAGCAATTATTAATAAAACCATTTTCTTTGTTGATTTAAAAGCTACGATTTTGTTCTCCACAATTTTTTTAATAAAAGGCATACTTTTCTAGTTTTTTACGAATAATCAATTAAAAACATTGTACTTTTCTATGAAAAACTCGTACTTTCGGCCGCGTATAAGTGGAGAAGTATTCACTTTCCAAAAAAAAAATGTGTAGAACACTTTTTGCTTAGAATGAACTTTTCTATCTATTCCTGTGTTAAATTTCATTAAAAAATTGCCACTCCCTAGATGGAGTGACAACCGCTCCCAGAGTGAAAGCGCCATTTGGCATGATATAGATTTTAATCCTTAGGCTATTCCTTACCTACTGTCAAAATTTCAAGTTAATCGATACATTTTGAAAAAATTGTCGGGACAAAACCTTGGTTTCCTGTACTCATTACACATTAGATATCGCTGTGTAACTCACCTGGTTGTCCAGCATGCTCCACGCAAAAGTGTAAAATTTCAGGGCAACTACTTATCACTCGGCCAAAATTTGATTGACATTCATCTGAAGGTAATGTGTTTATATAGATCGCAGGGGTGCGCGAGTAAAATAACAGAAGACTAGTATTTGCGCATATTAGGTCAGGTCTTAGGATGTTAAGAAAAGTCTAGAATTTTGTAAAGACGTTGAATTTTTAACTCTAAAGAGGTACCCAAGTCCGCAGCGGGGATTATTGATAGTCTTGTTGATTCAATTCAAAATGGATGCGACAGTAATTTTGTATTAAGGAAAACCTGTATTAAAGAAATCCAGGCCTCCACCCTCATTGGGAGAAAACCAAGTTCTCACGTGGTACACTGCCAGAAACAAGTTAAATCCAACCATGGATAATTTCGTTACTTGTTAAGCGACTATAGCCCATTCCAAAGATTTTGGAAATACAAAAAAATACTAAAACTACTCAATAATAGGTTCGAGTCTGGGTTCGACTTTTTATTTTGTTCGATTTCGTCGTCTTCTCACACATTCGTCAATGAATTATTTGTTCTAAATTGTGTTGTGGAGCATTAGCGGGTTTTGGTTTTGAATTACACATAGGTACAAATAGGTCGTATTAGTGTACTTCTGCAACTTTGCAAATTAAGCGCACCTTTGTAAAAATAAGTAGACTGTACAGAATTCCGAAGCTCAGTATATAGCCCTGAAAGCTCGGTGAACCCATGAAAATTAATAACATATCGCCGTCATTAGGTACTATTCCGCCATTAAGTAAGCGTAAACAGATGGCTTAGTGTTCAGATAGGGGATTATTTTGCACGAATTTAAGACATTCGAATAGCCGCCATGAGCTGGTAAACAGATTAGCGTTTTGGCAATAGAATTAGAGAGATTCGAAGATTGGCGTTGAGAGAGTTCAGAGCTTAGAAAACTCCTTAAATAAATTCAGAGCTTATTATCTAGTTTGAAACATCTTTTTTTAGCGTAACACAACGAAGTTGAGGTAAAGCTTATGTGCTCGTGTTTCCGTCTGTCCGTCCGTCCGTCCGTTCCATCGAGATCTCGACCCCTGGGCCACCTAGAGACTTCGGGTTTTCGGTAATTGATAACTGTTATGGTCTATATTTGCCCATTTCGATCAGTTTCATTTAACTCCATATTTTGCGCAGATTGCGCAATGCCAACTTTCATATTTATGGAGCTATTTCTTTGAAATTTTAAACGCAGACGCTTGTCGTAAAGATAAACATTTCGCACATAGTAAAAATTATGTGGGCATGCGCACTGACTGCGCAATACCAACTTTCTTATTTATGGAGATATTGCTTTGAAATTTTAACCACAGACGCTTCTAGTAAAGGCAAACATATCGCACATAGTAAAAATTATGTGTGGGCATGCGCAGTGATGTGTGGACATACTGCGCAATGTCAAATTACTTATTTATGGAGATATTTCTTTGAAATTTTAACCACAGGTGCTTCTAGTAAAGGTATACATTTCGCACATAGTAAAAATTATGTTGGCATGCGCAGTGACCGCACAGACTGCTCATAGCCAACTTTCTTATGTATGGTAATATTTCTTTGAAACTTTATTTTACTTATTTAACTCCTCTCTTTCTCTGTGCGTGGACGTGCTTCAGATTCGACATTTTGTGTGCTTTTGATGACGATGCATCGTTTCAATACTTTGTGTTAGGCGGCAATACCCACGTGTGGGTTTTGGAACATTTTTTTATTTAGTATTAGTTAGTGGAAAAATACAGAGTGAAGGAGCGTATGGTCAATACTCGGCTGAAATCGAGTATATAAATTGTAATGACCAGTTAAGTAAAAAGTACCGGGAGTCTGTTCCAAGCCGGCGGGTTTAAGTATGCCACACTTTAGAAACCATCTCATATCTACCCCATATTGACGAGTAAAAAATTATCCGAAGAAAAATTGTAAATAAAAAGGTTATAGTTATATTTATGCATTTGGCCAAATTTCCTGGATAAATGAAAAAGTTATCCAATAGGTATTCTGGCACGATTGTTGTGCGCAGGTGCACCATCCTGTTGAATCCAACTGCTTCCAACTTTTGTTTTTCTTGTGTGTGACATATATGGTTGAATTCGTAATAAAAATGCCGTACAATACGGTATGGGCTTTTGTTTACGGTCAATTATAAAGTTGATGACAATTTCTCTGAAACGAAACGTTGTATTTGAAAACCAATCATTTTGCTTTTTTATTTAATAATGGCCTAATTGTAATTTAACAAAGGGGAAAGTTAACATATTAAATTGTTTCTTGAAATTTATTTTGTGTTTTGTATCTGATTAAAATGTCATGATATCTAGGAAACTAATGAATTTAGGTATAACATATGGTTAATAAAAAATGTTTAAAATTGAGTCAACAATCAAAATAAGTAATAATATACACGATGTTGCATTTAAAAAATATATTCATCATTCTCCACAACTGTATATTTCACCCTGTATATTTCAATTTATCACAGATATGAAGATTTTTAACAACTCTACAACTTGTATATAAGACATTTTTTGATAAACCCTGTATATTTTGAAATAATCGACCATTCTGGTAATTTTTCCTAAGCCGTACCTTCATTAGCAATTAACATCAGTTATTGAAAAGGATATCTATCTAATTGAATGAAATATGCACACATAGATTCATATCTGACGCTCTTAACCCATCGTGGTAGATATAGTAGTACATATAGGCCATATGTGCCTTGTATTCCTTCACAATACTTGTCTCATCTGTTCCTCATATGCAACTCGATCTAACGAGCACTTTTCAGTTGTATTTAGTGAAGGTAATCGATGGAGTAATTTCGTTGGCTATTAAATTGCTAAATAAATTTTGAATTTGTTCTCCATAATATACGTTAGTAAAATGTTTTCATGGAAGAGTGTATGCTCGTATACAAGTTCATCGATCTCGAAATAAATTTTAATGGTAATTAGGCGTACATTTACAAATGATATCTCTATGTAAGAAATGTTTACCGGAATTTTGGGGAACATGCTTGTAAGATAACCATCAGCGCAGGATACAACGGAACATTTTTGAAATTGAAGGACGTGTGACTTTATTCATTAACCTTTGTCATAAGTATTTAAAGAGACATATTGGGAAATCTATGGTGGTATATAACTCTTCTTGATTGTCACCAGTTCTTCATAAAATTTTATATCCACTTAAACTTCAGGTGACATTAAGGTGTTATTAAAAAAAAGAAACGGGACGCTTTCGCTTCTTTTATCGTTTGATTATTGCGACAAATTTTTTATCTTTCAATCTATTTTTAGGAGTTTCTAAAGTGATCAATTACCTACTAGTTTAACTGTAAGGCAGTGAGATAGACGTTTGTTTATGGTGTGTATTTCGGCGGCGCTTTTATTTATATTCTCTGAGCATGCATATTCATAAGTAATTAACGAAATCGGTCCATGCACTTCACCAACGCTTTGAAACATGGGACTTGCGGACAGATGTAATTTAAAGATTTCGTATTAAGTTTTATTAAAGCTCAATGTAAGCTCAAACTGTCGATTGAAGATATGTGTTAAAATACGACGTTCTGTCATGTTAATTCTCATTTGCTCACGTATATATGTGTATATTTACCTTGCTAACTAATTCTTGCTACACCTTTATGGCTATTGGCCAACATTTTCCTTAATTTAATTCTTGCATACTTTTAATCATTAAGAAGCATCGTTCGATATTTAAACCGATTTAAATCAAGATCGATTTCATCTAGAGTCCCGCATTTAAATATACGTATCGTCTTGGATACCGAAACATATAGTTAAGTTTTTATTCGACGTTTAAGGGCCATTGCCTTAAGTGTTTCTTATCTAATCATTTTGCCTTCTCACAATCCTATAATGCTTCATCACATTACCATACCGGTAAGCTATGTTCGAGGGATCACTATTATACCTACCCGAAACGCGGCTAATCTAGACCACTAACTGAACAAAATATTTCTACATAATATACAGTGCTTTAAGTTATCGAAATGGATGTTGAGCTTGTGGACGAGATCTCGTGTTTGTTTCTAAACAAAAAGAGGGCGGGAATTTTTGGAGGCATTATTAAAGTGGTGTCTACCACAGTTGTATCTGAACCATTCTTTTTTCGAGCAAAGAAAGAAATTCACATGCTGTCTTTATTCCTGTAACTAATTTAAAGCATTGTTTCATAAATAAAACGGACAAAAGAATTTGACACATTTTGCGATGATTTTAGGGTTGAAATAGATTACTATGCGACAGTCTTCAGTTGGACACTGCCCAGTATACGTATACATGTATGACATATTGGAGTATTAATCTTATTATTAATATTATTATATATATTAATATTAAGTATTAATCGTAAACATTGTTACGTTAAAAGGTGAAGTGATAAGAAAAACAAGTGCAATCTGTCGAGTTGTGATAAATACATGCATACCATATCTACTAATTCTTTTCCATTGACTACCTACATTATTATTTACGGCTGATCCAATACCAAGAGAATATTCGTTGCGCTCAATGTGGGAAACCCGCACATATGGCCTGCACCAGCGCAATCGCTAGGAACGACACCTGGATATTTTGTCATTTTCCGATGGGGGCTCCCAAATGGTTATCAGCGGAAAAAGTGCTTAAAACTTCCCACGATGTCGATAATTCATTTCATGACGTCTTACAGTAAACTTCAATAAAGGAACGACATTATCAAAAAGATGAACGCCACTTAACATCCAAAAGGCTGACAAACGGCTTCGTTTTCGTCAAGTTCTCGTATTTAAAGAATCTGCTCTTTTCTACCTTAAAAATCTCCTTAAACATTTCGTAACCACACAGCTAAATTTGAATACCGCCACCTTCGAAATAAACTACACACCTGTTGTTTTCTTATCAGCGATAAACCGTGTTTAACTTGAGACTAATAAAATTTCACCTTACCCAACGCGATTACAAATAGTCATATCGCAAATACGGCCAGATGTTCCTACCCTTTTAAGACATAATTTCACTTTTACAATTAAATAAATAAATCACAATAAACAAATTATAAAGCGATCAATTAAACAAAACTTAAACATTCAACAAAGCAACGTGGAACTTCAAATGTAAATAAAAAGAACGAACTCCTTGTTTAATTCCGAACCAGCGACTAAATTTACACCGAAAACAACAAAAAATTAGGGGTATTCTGCGAGTCAGAATTTTTGTTAATGGAACGTTATGTATTAAGTAATGAATATGATTTTGTATTTCAGGAGTTTTCTGATTATGGTATACAACACGTGAAAATAAAATGTCCTGGAGGCGGACAAAGGATTCCTCCTTTTTCTATCATCAAACGGTGAGTGTGAACTTGTTTATCCATGATATTGTCTTATTAAAATGCTATTGCATAAATTTAGTGTAATTTTTCAATTCTTTTGGTACCTATCAATGAAGAAAATTTGTATTTAAATTTCCTTTACTTAAAACTATGTCTCATGGAAGGCTTGGATGGTGTACCGCACCGAATGAGGTTGTTCGGCGCGGCTCGTGCGGCGTCCACATCTCATCAATCTTCAATTTCTGCTATCGTATCTCTTTCGGTTTTTCCTGCGTTTCAATGAAATGTGCGCGATTGTGTTTTCCGTAAGAAATCACCATTCATCATGTTTGGAAGAGAGTACGAAAATGCTCGTTTTTATTACGAAGAGGATTTTTTTACGTCAGGTGTCTTTTACACCGAAACCGAGCTATTCAGTGTTACCGTTGCTAAGATCAACTTATAATTTTTTGTTATTGTGACGTGTACATAACTATTATAAATAGTTTTTTTTAATCAATAAACTGACTTGACTTGACTTGACTTGAATAGGTCGTGTTAAATTACGAGGCGGTTTATCCGTGTGTTTTTGGCTGCATATTATTCTATTTCCGTGGAAACACTCTCAAGCTCAAAATGTATGGCGTCACCTGTCCCATAAATGGTACGATAAAAATCGGTTCCAGGTCGTGGAGAGCACGGGTTAGCAGAATCATCTCGTTTGCGTTTGTTCTTTTTTAATGTTCAAGTTCATATCGTGGGGTTACTGCCAAAACAAGATAAGTTACTTGTTTGAAGTTTTGAGTAAAGTGGATTTGTAACTTATTATGCGCAGGATAAATCAGCGAATCATTATTAAAGTAGTATTCAAGCATGCATATGCTATAATAAAAATAAATTGTAATGATATGTTATTATTTGTATTTATCAACTGAAGAAACAATTTGATAAACAAAATTATTTAAAAAAAATGGGCACTTATCTTATTTTTGCAGGTTGCCTAAGAATCATTCAGGAGTTAACCAAAAGAGTACACCAATTTAGAAGGAACTATTTTTAATGCAAAACACAAACAATAAAATAAAACTATTAATGAAAATTAGGTATACGTAAAAAACATCAATTTAATTTTCTTCCGCGTCATCTATCTCCAAATCCTCTGGATCAGTGTCTTCTAAACCAGGTTTTGGGATTGTGTCTTTGGCACACTTTGCCTAAGGCAACGACTTAAAGTAATAATGAAACTCTTTGGAATTGAACGCTAGCAATTTAAAAAAAAACTCACTATACACAACTAAATTTAAGCCGAAACACCGCCGTATGCAGGTTATGTTGAGCACATGTTCGTAAGTACTATTACAACCAAAACAAGACAAGTGAGGTCAGAAGGTAGTTTGAATAGGTGTATACTGGTACAGTTAAAATAAGATAAGTGGCAGTTATCGGTTATGGACATATATTTGCAACAGCGAAAATAGGATAAGTGGTACCTATATAATTTGTTTAGGCAGTCAACTTTGTAACAAAATGGAACAAAGTTAAACAGGCAAAGTAGGATAAGTGACACATACGTTCTTTTTGCAGACTAGATGGTTACTGAACTGCATTTGACTGGTTCTTGCTGTACTCTTTATTACTATAATGGAGTTATCTTAATTCGGCGCATGTGTAAACACAATTTAGACTTGCTTTGGAGCTATCTCCTTTTGGTAGTATATAATTTGCACTATTCTGAAATTAGTAGTGTACTTAACTCAAATTATAAAAAAAATTGAGTTATCTTGTTTTGGCAGTAACCCCACGATATAATTAGACTCTCATGTGGGCCGTGGGGTGCAGGCGCGATCTGGCCTGCTTCGTTGGTTCCTTTTTTTGAGAAAAAATTTAACGCTGAAAAACGAAGAAAGAGGGGAGAATAGAATATAGTCTGGGGAGCCTGAGTTTGAAAATAATAAGAAAAAGGCAATGTTGGTATGTTGCGTAAAATTGCAAGTAATGAATAGATTATATATTTAGTAGTACATTATTTTATAAGGCTTAACAGTATCACTTGTGGCACATCTGTCAGTTGTAACAGTTTGTAACAGCATATGTCACAAAAAGTTACTGCTAAGACGAATGAAATTCATTATTTTTCTCCAAATGACTTTATTACGTTGAAAATACTATTTAGAAATAATTATACAGTGAGCGCCCAATGAATCATGAAGTTAGTACTCATTTGCCGCAATAGGCGCGATGCGTACGTATATGGCCAAATACAAGTTAAACATAAGAAAGGCAACGCCTACCTTCATTTGAAAGGAGATGTCATCCAGAGAAGTGAGCTCAGTTCCCGGATTTTCATAAAATCTGCAACAAAAGAAAACTAATTATTTTTGTAGAGAGGTGAAGATGACTAATCAAACGCGCCATGGACACATCCAGAATTACACCGGCAGTTGAAGTGTCGAATAATCTTTACCAAAAAACGTCTTGACGTGCTGTAGTGGAAAGAAAGTGCTGCGAGCTTATTTTTTGTAATATGCAGGGTTGAATATTGTATTAAGTGTTCCACTGTTTTGGAATATAATAATTAGTGGAGATTTGTCCAGATGCTAGTTTAGTTTTTAAGTTAGAAGTGAAGTCCTTATATGCCATTACTTTTAATGCTGCCCATGAGCGTTAACCAAGGGCAACTCAACAGCGGTATACGGAAATCACATTTCGAAATAAACAATGTCACATTTCTATGACGTTTGGAGAAAAAAAATTGTAACGGGGCGTAAGCCAAAATAGTTAGAGTCTCGCCGTATATGAAATATCTAAGTAGACATTTGAGTTTGACATATTCTTATCTCTGCACTAGGTGTTCCAGTGGTATTTCCGTCGCGGACAGGCAAAAAATTATTAAAACTCCGATCTCTCGTGATTGAATTCCTATCCGCATGGAAAATGCATTCACATAAGTCAGAGAGGTCTAACTGAACTGAGCCGTTCTTTCATGTTACCGTTAACCCTATCTGACTATTAATTTTCCTGGAAAGCAACGTATTCGCATAGGTTATCTATCAGTTTATAAAATTTATATAATGACAAGTACCCGACAGTATCTTCAAATGGCAATAACTAATTTGTTAGTAAGCATTTAAATAAAACCAGTAAATAAGTGTATTACTTATTCAATGATAAAACTGACTAGAAGCAGTTACTGAAAGAGCATATTATGGAAAATATTAATTCGAGTGAATCTTGTTTTGTTGATGAATTGATGATAATTTCGGATACATGCAGATTCGAAATAAATATCAAAATAATTTGTCAAAATGTCAAGAGTTAAACGCAATAAACGACCAGAAAACTTGATTGAGCGATACGCCGCACTTTACGCCGGATAATTACTACACAAAAGCTTCTAATTACAAAAGATGAGACTTAATTATCTCGTTTGCTGCTACTAACAAGACACTGGCCGTCAAGTACAAATTAAGTATCTAACATACATTAAAAGAGCGCATTAGGTGATTCAGATGTCTTAAGGTCGTTAGTAAAATGAAAAATGCACTGTGTATCCTTTAACGATTATGACTTATTAATATCCTGTTTACAACATAAGCTTAATTATTCTGGCCACAATTTATTCTTATCTCGCTGTTCATCCAGTTCAACATCTTGTTTACTTTGTATTTTCAATTAAATCAAAATTAACAGTGTATTTTAGTGGCCTTTTGTAGCGGGATTATAGTCACGTGTCCTGTACCACTGCAAGAGTACATAAACAATATTTCCGTTGTTTTTATTTGAATCCAAAAATGCAGATTATTTAAGTCCATTTTGAGTTGATGAAGAACATACCATACGCAATTTTGCACCAAATGACACCTTCATATTTCACTATTCAAAAAATGGCACATGGTTGAGTTTCAAATATCCATGAAACTAAATCCTCTCTTTGTTTTTACAGTATAATGTTTTGAGTACTAATTTGGGGTTACTTATCTCCGCCTTTCCCTTGAAAAAGTTCGAACAATATAGTCTTGCTTGAGGTGCACTATGGTATTATTGCTTCTGCGTATATTTTTGTTTGCCACTATTACCATTAACAATTGGACATCAATTGGCCCCTATTCAGAGGGTTACAAATCGCCTCTGACGTATCGCCCTGTTTAAGTTAGTTAGGCTTTAATTGTCCATATACTCGTATTCTTTGACGAGTATCAAGTGATATGGTTCAGTGATGGTTCAAGGCGAGATCCAAAAGATTGCCAGATTATTGTATTGGCTGATTGATAGCACAAATTGTTCTTTGTAGAGGAATTGTTATAAGTACATTATTGTATACCTACGTTTGAAGCGTTTGTAATAAACATGAGACAAAAGAAGCTATCGCACGTGCAGGTTATATTTAAATTCTATTTTTCCTATTGCATATTCGTAATAAAGGTAAAATAAACTTTCCAACGATGTGTTGCAAGATCTATGTTGCGATTTTTAAAAAACAAAATGGCGGCCGTGTCAAAAAATCATACGGGACAAAAATTTCCTTTTCATGCCAGATGCACAAACATATCTTATTTAAGTCCTAAAACTTTCAAACCGATATTTCCAACCGTTTTCACACCAGCGTTTTGGTGCCATCTTTATTAGCCACTCTGTATAATGAATGGTATAATTGTATATAATAATAAAAACTTTGAGGAGCGCTTCTTCTCTTATAACCTCTAGCCGCCCTTTGCTTCGACCGCCTGCATGATTTTTACACATCGCCCTATAGGTAGGAACGACCCTGGTCTCACTTCCATAGCAACTGTGATTAGAGTTACCATTTCGGTACTGTATATTTACGGTCATAATTATTGTACTATCGACAGGTGCGTCTGTTCCATAATTTCCATCGTTTTGACGGATGTCATAAAAGCACATGCGCAAATTTATTTCATAGTATGGTCACTGGATTCACTTTTATGAGATGTTCTCGCAGTTTAAATTTCGCTGTTATGTAAATAACAAAGTTAGGACGCCCTTACGCGGAAACTTATTAACGAGCTCCTAGCGAGTTT